TTATTATCATGCCAAAGTTATATCCATCATATTAATAGTCCTCGTCAGTGCATAAAATAATATAATTAGCACACATCAACTTTCTTAATAGCGCTTAAGTACTTTGAAATTTTTCGAGGTGTTACAATGCTTATTTATCATGAGAGGTTAAAGCACAAAGGGTGATGTCGTTCCTATACATTGATCACATAAGTATTAGAGTAAAAATATGATGTTGTGTACTTGCATTTATCTAATACAGTGAGCATGAGAGTAAAAGCATGAAAGGTGATTCTGTGCGAGTTTATTGATTCCATAATTTTACTTGATATCTGGTAATGTGGATTTTCACGTGGTGGTTTCATTACCCATTTTAGAAAGATGTTTATTTTATGATTCTTTATTTACTCTTTCTGTCTATTGTTCCTTATACACGTCCCTACTTTGTTGTTTCATTTGACTCTTTACTTTTTATTCTATCATACATATATATAACGGTACAAGTTTATTGTAGGTGTCTTGTTTTAGTGTTGTCACCACCTCGTCGAGGTTAGACTCAACATTTATAGAGTACATTGGGTCGGTGGTACTCATGCTACACTTCTGCACTTCTTGTCTAGATTTCGTTATTGGTCCTAGCGGTGCATAGAGGATATTTCTCCGATCTTTTCGGGAGACTTGAGGTGGAGATGCATGGTGTTTGCAATCCCTAAACTCCCTTCTATATTGTTTTACTGTTTATCTTATTTCAAATAGTTGTATTTTATTTCAGACTATATTTGTAGTATAGTAGTTGCTCATGTACTTATGACCCCGAATTTTTGGGAGTAGTTTAGACCGCTTTATTTGTGGATTCATTAAATGTATTTTAGAGGATTCAATCACTAATTATTAATATTCTACCTTTATATTGTTAAAATTGATTAATTCTTTAGCTAATGTTGGCTTGCCTAACAAGTGGATATTAAGCGCCATCACGACCCTATGGTTGGGATTTTGGGTCGTGACAATTTGGTATCGAGCACTAGCTTGCCTAGGTCTCACGAGTTATGAGAAATCTTAGTAGAGTCTTGAAGATCGATATGGAGACGTTTGTACTTATCTTCAGGCTATAAGGCTTTTACAAAATTTCACTTATTTCATTCTCTACCGCGTGGCTTTATTCTATCGCTGAAGTATGAAACATTCTTATCTTAATCTCTCGCAGATGGTGAGGAGACATACAACATCCGCAGTTGATCAGGAGCCAGAGCCTCAGGTTGTAGCCACTACAAGGGGTAGGGGCCGGGGTCGAGGCAGAGGCAGAGGTAGAGTTCAAACTAGAGCACGTGCAACAACACTTATTGCAGAGCCTCAGATCAAGTAGGGGGAGGAAATCCCTCTTCTGGCCATTCCAATTGGACAAGCTCAGGTCCCAGAGGGGTTTATTACTACCCCGGTACTTCAGAATGCCTTAGTCCACGTGGTAGGCCTTATAGAGAGTGTGTCCTAGGCCGGTGTATTTCTTATGGCACCAGCCGTCTCTCAGGCTAGGGGAGGAGCCATAGAAGTGCTAAATTTCACTTAAGCTAATCTTCACTTCTAATCTAAAGTTTTATATGTTTCTTTAATCAATTCGTATGAGAAACATATAGACATGCATAACAACAAAAACCATATCATAATCAAATTATTTTCCATAATATCCAGCCATAATATACATACAACATACATACATACATATCTTCCACTGCTATCTTGTAATATTTCACTCCAACATCACAATCAACATGTAATTAACCTTAAACACAACCAAAATAATGTTAAACATACCTTATGCGGTAGATAAAATTCGAACCTTAAGATTATGCTCACCATCATCCTTATTCGCATCACAACATCATAGAGGGGTCATTCTTCACTTTTGGCTAACTTCAATGTTGGGTTATGGTGTATTTTGTTTTGGAATTTGTTTGGAGCCTTAGGGAAGCTTATTGAGAGGGTTTGGAGAGTATGAGGATGGAATGAGGCTGAAAAATAAGCAAAGATCATCCCAAAATGAGATAAAAATAGGTGAAAGTCGGCCATCGATCAAGTGGGTCCCATAGGGGCTGCCTAAGCAGTCTCACAAAAACGTGAGTATCTCTCTACTCTAATGTCGTATTGATGAATGATTTAATTTATTGGAAACGACACTCGTAAAATTTCAATTTGATGGGTGGATAACCCCGTAAATCCAAGTATATTGGGAGAAAAGCTCAGTGATATTATACCCAATATCAGTAAAATTTATGAATGTAACTTGTGACGACTTTCATCGACTTTTGTTCCACAACTCTCTTATTTAGAAACTTAACACATGACTATCATACAACTAAAATAACTCGTAACATAAGCATCTTATCATGTTATGCACCCTAGTTTCACCCCAAAAGTATGGGTTACAATATTCTAAACTTGTCTATGGGTTACAATATTCTAAACATGTCGACTTTAGATGAAACTTAGTTTCTTTAATTCGTTTAGCTTCTAAACCTTCCAAACCACTTGGTACTTGTTGTTCATGGTCTTAAGTATTTGTAACCTCCAAGGTAACATGATTAACTACTTTATATACTTTTAAAGATAATCTTATTTATGAGCTTACATCAGTTGACTTACTATGTACTTTTACATACAAAACATGGGGTGTAACAATAAGGCTTTAGGAAACTTTCCCTTTTGTTGATTTCTTATCATGTGTCTTTATCTTGGATAGAAGCCTATATATCAAATTCCTTTCTACTCATTGTATGTGATTTTTATTACTTGATATCATTTGGGTACCAACAAGTTGTGATGATGATACAGATGTAATGTTAAAACTATGCGTATGAGTTAACGTATATCGCGGACCAAGTGTTGGTGTTGCCCACGTGCTGAGGCAACATCGCTCATAGAGGCTAATGGCTTTTGGCAACAGAACGACAAAGAATCGTGCAAGTAGCGCCGCAAGGTACCATACACATGGGGCGAAGCTTAGTAAGTTGCCTATTGCAATCGGTTGTTGTGAGTTATGTCTGTAAACCCCCTTCCCCCACACCNCTGTGCATATGGTGCGAAGCTTAGTAAGTTGCCGATTGCCATCGGTTGTTGCGGGCAACATCGGGAGTCGACATCGCTCGTAGCGGCTGATAGCTTTTGGCAACAAAACGGCAAAGCGTCGTACAAGTAGCACCGCAAGGTGCCATGCACATGGGGCGAAGCTTAGTAAGTTGCCCATTACCATCGGTTGTTGTGGGTTGTGTCTAGAACCGCTCGTGGCGACTGATGGCTTTTGGCAATGGAATGGAAAAGCATCGTGCAAGTAGCGCCTCAAGGTGCCATGCGCATGGGCCGAAGCTTAGTAAGTTGTCGATTGCCATCGGTTGTTGCAGGTAACATCGGGAGGCGACATTCCTCGTGGCGGCTGATGGCTTTTGGCAACAGAACGGCAAAACGTCGTGCAAGTAGCGCCGCAAGGTGCTGTGCGCATGGGGCGAAGCTTAGTAAGTTGCAGATTGCCATAGGTTGTTATGGTTTGTGTCAGGAACTGCTCGTGGTGGCTGATGGCTTTTGGCAATAGAACGGCAAAGCGTCGTGCAATTAGCACCGCAAGGTGTCGTGCGCATGGGGTGAAGCTTTGTAAGTTGCCGAGTGCCATCGGTTGTTGTGGGCAACATCGGGAGGCGACATCGCTCATGGCGACTGATGGCTTTTGGCAATAGAACGGCAAAGCATTGTGCAAGTAGCGCTGCAAGGTGCCATGCGCATGGGGCGAAGCTTAGTAAATTGCCGATTGCCATCGATTGTTGTGGGTTGTGTTTGGCATTTCTCCAACCCCCTATTAGTACTTTGCGGGGCTTGTCTTGGCTTTGCAATGTTGGCATCGGCAACAATACATGGCTGCGCATCGCGTGTTGGGGTTGTTGTTGGCTTTTATCAGCGAGGCAAGTGTACGTGCTGCACATGAGTGGTGTTCGGTTTGTGTGGCTAGGTTGGATCCCTGCTTGAGCAGCGACGTCCTAGCCCGCATGCCATCTCAGTCGTGGCACAAGCGCAAATTAGGCTTGTTCGGCGTCGGTTTTCTCTGTTGCATACCTAATGCCAAGGCATTATCAAGCACAATTGGTCGTCTTTCACCACTCGCGTTTGACGTGCGGGGTGAACCAATAGCTGTAGTTGTGTCCCAGGTCATCATTACTTCACCTTGCGATGGCTTGGTCTATGATTAGTATGCTCGAACTCTCGGATTCGATAAACACAATGGGCATGGAGTCTTCATTGGCTCCTATCTGCCCAAAGAATGCTCCTTACAAAAGACGGTCGTGCTCGTCTTGGACTTGGCAGTGCCCTTTGGATCGGCCATGCTCATGCGACGATGGCATCAATGAGGAATGCTACCTAGTTGATCCTACCAGTAGTTATATGCTTGTCTCAAAGATTAAGCCATGCATGTGTAAGTATGAACAAATTCAGACTCTGAAACTGCGAA